TTGACATGACTCGAATGACTTCGCTTTTCTGCACGATTCGCAACGATTTACATTTCAGGGACATTTCGAAGAAGAGTGCAGCAAGGGCGAATATCTGTGGTGGGACAGACAATTTCGGTTCTTCACGCAATGCGGTACTGGTCAAGCAGGTCCCAGCCCAATGTGATATCTGTGAGAGCATGATTTACTGTTATTATGTATCTTCTGTTAAGATTCTGCCACGGCGGTTATTACTATACAGATTTCTGTTTTCGATAGCTTTTTTAAATTATGTTGCTGTTCCAGTGTGTGTAGTTCATTCGTTACGGCACATGAATATTTTAGTTGGCATAAATACAAATCATTTACAGTTGTTGCAGAATGTTTTCATTAGGTGGACAAGTCTTCACTCATATGCGAGTAAATACAGACACTTATTGAGTGCAGCATTTTTCTAATATTTCTGTGTTTGGACTGGTGGATCTTCTACAGCCCCTTAGAGGTTATCGTTTACAACTTCAACTCATTGCGACGTTTGTTAAGGCGAAAGTCTCGTGTTCATTTTCCACATGTTTGTTCTTATGTTTAACATAGCCTTTTAGAATTTTTAAAGATTTTCAGGAATTCGAACAATATTCGTTGAGTAATACATTGAGATCTCCATAACTTTAAACTATGTTTACTTTGAAGATAGCTCATAATCTCGACTATGCGATGTTAATCCTCAGATTTAAGCACAGTTGCATTCACGTTACGTTCCACAAGTAATCGTTTGAAAAGTAACAGTGTAAAGCAGACTATACGTTACTCCGGTATGTATTTTATGATTAGAAGTCAGCTGTTAGAAAATCTATCTTCAGTATTTTAGTATTTGGACGCAGTCACTCAGTTTCGATGACCGTCTAATCCTTCAGTCACGGAGACAGCAGTTTCATACAGTGTCTCCAACGTTCCATTCTGTGCCAGCTCTGACTGAACTTCGGCAAAAGATAACTTGAGTCTGGAGCAAAGCGTCTTGCCTATTGTTGGTCGTCCCTGCAGTTTTCGGCCAGTCAGTTGAGCAAGTTGTTGCTGTTTCGCCTTTATTCCTCTGTGTCCAAGCATGCAAGCCTGGACATATGATATGACGCAAAACTTGCCAAAACCACTGTACCTATGAATTATCAATCTGGAGAAGAAGCGGTTGTACACCTATGCTTTCTCGAATATATAAACTCGGGACTTCGTTGAGACGTACATGTGTAGCGATTCGCTTCACCAAGCCCATTTCAAAGGGATGTATCCGGGATCACAGTTTTTGTACTTTTCGTCGCTCCCGGAATTAGCTATACGGCGAAACTTCCATTCAGACACCTTTGCGTCGACTTTTCCTGGAAAACTCAGTAAGATAATGCCTCGATAATTGGAACATTCCATATGATTTCCCTTCTTGAACAAGGCTGTTACAATGGACCTTCTCGAGTGGTACCTTCCCCGTTATCACTGAAGTTTAACAAACACTTGACCCACAACATGCCTTGTAAGCCTAATGCTTTTAAGTATATCAGCTGGATATCATTGATTTCAGCAGACTTGCCACTTTTCAAGCTTCTTACAGCTTCCGCGACTTTGTCTGCTTAAAGATTAATATCTGCTACCTAATGTTGTTCGTAGTAGTCTCTTTGTGCTTGCTCAGCATTAATCATTTCAGAAAAAATCAGTTCCTCGGAGTACTCTCGCCAGCGAAAAGTATATTCTATTCCAGATCAGAATGTCCTGGAGGACTCGTAGACTGCATCTTCATTGATTTGGAGAGGTGCCACAATACTTGGTATGCCGTCTGGAAATTCGATTCCAACACCTCATCGAACTTTCCCATGAATCACTTTTCGCTTTGGCCACTGCTTTAACTGCAACTGTACACGCTTACTCGTACTTCTTTCGAGTTGAAGGTTCTTTGCGTTCAAGCCAGTATTTGAATGCAGCTTTCTTTTCGTTGATAGGCTGCTGAACTTCTGGTGTCCACCACTTGTTTCTGACCATCTGATTTCAGTCCAATGCCTTTTAAGCCGCAGTTCAGAAGAAGACTCTCTTAAGAACCTTTCGTTCAGTTTCGATGCGAGCCTTTATCATTGATATTTATTCAAACCGTTCTACGATGTTGTTTGCTAGTTTCTAGCAAGTATTCGCAGCTGATGTTCGCTATTTGAATCTGTGACTCCTTCTGGAAATAGGTTGTCGCTTAGTAATCCTTCGTTTCCTGCGGACGGTGCCAACAGAAAGGTGATGATCGGTTGATAGCTCTACCCTTCTCTTAACGCTATATTCATTAGAGAGCGTCATAAGTCAGATGACATGACTATCAAATTGATCATCGTCTTCTGTGCATACCAGATATACTTATGCGTGCTTTGATGGTCACTGTTAATAACAGACAGTCCTTTGTTTGCACAATGCCGCAACAACTTCAACTCCGTTATTGTTAAATCGTTAGGATGGTTCTTTCCAATCACACCCTTCCAATTTTCAGCACATGTCTGACCTGCGCATTGAAATCACATGGATTATATATTCAGGACTTCGTACAGAGCACATTCCACTTCCTCAAGGAAGGATCCATATTCTCCATCCAAATTGGACGCTTAGACCTGTAACAAGGTCAGAGCTTTAACTTGTTGTAGCCTCAGTTGGAGGACTGCCACTCTTCCACTGACAGATTTCCATTCAGTGATTCTGTCAACCAGGTGGGATTGTACCAAAAGCCAACACCGGCTTCAACAAGTATATCTGAATATAACAGCGTCCACTCGCGGAGATTAAGAATTCCAGACTCCTGGCATTTTCTTCGACGAGAGTTCAGTTACGTCTAGTTCGTATTTTGTCGCCTCATCTGTTACCTCCTACTCTTTCTTTTTGAGTGATGGTGTGTTCCAATTTCCAACTGTAGACTCCCACTGTCGGCATCGTTCCCGTAGAACCGCGTCTGACGTTGCATAAATGTATTGCGTTGACTGTCTCCTTCTTTCAAAACAGGTAGCAACTGCATTGCAGACTTCTATGTTCGTCTTCTTCGTGAAGATCTTTGGCATCTGTCCCGTGCTGCTACGCTCCCAGCTGCCTGAAAGCGTGAAACAGGTTTTGGTCGTTTTTCAGCAGCCTGGTAACCCGACGACAATCTGCCGGTATGAAGTCACATAGCGTCACTACCATGAAAGGCAAGTTGCTCAAGTTTACGGGAGGCGTTTCGCCACGGTCGACAACCATTCTCGTTTCCCATAAGGGCTTTCAACCAGCAACGGCAGAATTAACTGCTTTGGAACAGTTCGAACAAAATAGATGAAGGTACAACGGAAGGTTGGTTATAATTCCAATAATTTATAGGAAAATTTCACTGCGAATGCAAATGGCAACGCTGTTCTTGTGAATCATCTAGGGATATTCGGAAACTGTGGCGACAGTCTGCAAGATCTGCAGTCGTATCTGACAGTTTTGGAGAGAGAGAAAAGCGAATAGTTTTACAACTTTACGGACGCATGTCCATAAGCATTGTGCAAAGCTGATCTCACATTACGCTGATTCGGCTAGCGCTGTCGTTTCCAGGAACGTTAACCTTTTGAGCTTGAGGGCCTGCTGGCGTACTTACGTACAACCGAATAAAAATGCGTTCTCATGGTGTATGGATAATGGGCATGATACAGGCATTATAGAAGTTAAATAAACTAGAAAAAATTGTC